TCCAAATTTTGATCACGTGACCACAGGGATGCTGCAACAGTTGTAAGTGTGAAAAACGGGCATACGTCACTTTTTTCAGTGCCATTGAAACTTTGAATAGTCTCTAAACAAACTGTTGTAAGTTGAGGACTACCTGTAGTTTGTTTTTTCTTCTTTTCTTTATTTTGTATTTTAACTTTGGGGGGGAAAAATAAAACAATAATAAAAAAAGTAATATCTGGGGAATGACAAGTTTATTTATTTATTTATTTATTTAATTTAATTTATATGCCGCCCTTCTCCCGACGGGACTCAGGGCGGCGCACAACATATTTAAAACCAGAACATATATATAATCCCCCCCTTAAAACCGAATTAAACCGAATTTTAATGTTGCGTCTTCCGAATATTTAAAACCCAATATAAAATCCGCCCTAGGTCAGGTCCGCTTGCTGAAAGAGCCATGTCTTGAGGGCGCGACGGAAGGTAAGGAGATCCGGAATTATCCGGATCTCGGGGGGTAGTTCATTCCAGAGGGTAGGGGCAGTTCATCATCGTAGGTTATTAGACAAACTGGATAGTACATAGAGATTTTTTTGTGGCAATCCTTAAGTATTTTAAGATTTAAGATTACTTATTTTAAGATTTTTTTCAACTTTCAAGTCTTTATGTATAGCCTTTGGATTTCCTGGTGGCATCCTATCCCAGGACTAACCAGACTGGTACTAATCAAGTAGTAAGCATTCTTTTCAAGCTCAGTCAAGGACAAATAGAGTCAGTTTTGCAGCTTGGAGTTAAATTTGAAAATTCCCAAGGATGTCTTGCTTAAAGTGAAGTCTTCGTCAAGTCAAACTCACCTTCTCATGCCTGTTTCTTGCTTAGGTTGAAGAGGAGAGAAATTCCCAGAAAATAAATTGTGGCTAAGGTGAAGAAAATGATTGTAGTCTACAGCAGATCAGTGAGAAGGAATACAGTGTTGTGAGATTTGTCAGATGACAAACGTATATAAAACCATGCTCTGTTCAGAAAATGCTCAGAAAAAGAGCCTCTGTCACTCTCCATCTGAAATTGTTAGAATTTTGAATCTTTCTTTGAACTTAAAATGATGCAGAAAGGAAAGACCTATTTGCATAAAGCAGAATGAAAGGGTAGATGTTTTGCTATCAGATGAGGTTGTGATTATTGATTTAGAATTTTAGATGGCTTTTAAAGAGATTAGCCAAACTGTTGGAGGATCAAACCCTCAATAGCTCTGAGTCTCAATAGATAGATGCCTAGATCTGGATAACTAGTTAGTTTATTGACTGATTATATGCCTTATAAACATATAAAAAATAACATAAAAGTAAAATACAAGGTCTATTTCGGGGATAAAATAGGTAAAAGAAAATACAATAATAAAATACGTATGTGCTAAATGCAAAGATAAATGTTCAGATAAATACAGTGCCTTTAAATGATCATCTAATCTGTTCAGTATAACAGATTCTTAGCTGAATGTACAGAATAACAGAATTGGAAGGGTCATTGGAGGTCTTCTAGTCCAACCCCTTGCTCAACCAGGAAACCTTGTTTAGGTAGTCCTTGTTTAGTGACTACTTCATTTAGAGACCATTCACAATTTTAACAGTGATGAAAAAGTAATTTTGCTCCCACTCTTTACATTTATGACCTTTGTAAGTCTATAAAACCAAGGAAAACTGAAAAAGGTGAGATCATAAGCACAGCTGCGGTTTCACTTAGCAACCACTTCACTTAATGACCAAGCTGTCTGTCCCACTTGTGAATGCTAAACAAGGACTCCTTGTATATATGTACTCCTTGACTTACAACCACAATTGACCCAACATTTATGTTGCTAAGTGAGACAGTTGTTCAGTGAATGTTGCCCCATTTTATGACTTTTCTGGCCACAGTTGTTAAGTGAATCACTGGAGTTGTTAAGTTAGTAACACAGTTGCTAAGTGAATCTGGCTTCCCCATTGACTTGTCTTGTCTGGAGTTTGCAAAAGGTGGTCACATGACCCCAGGACACTGCAACCTTCATAAATATGAGTCAGTTGCCAAACTTCTGAATTTTGATGTTTGTGACTATGGGGTTGCTGTAACGGTCGTAAGTATGAAAAATGGTCACAAATCACTTTTTTTCAGTGCGGCTGTAATATTGAATGGTCACTAAATGAACTGTTGTAAGTCGAGGATTACCTGCATGATAGAGCCCAAGAGGAAACAGGACAACATAGGACAATAAAAACAAGGGTTTTTATTTCAAGTAGGGATTTTAAATATCTAAGTCTAAAAGGAGGCATACAGCTGACAATCAAATAAAACATGAATCTTCATGACTGTTGGCTACTCTTTGGGGTAGTTGTTGAAAGGAACAAAGCAAAAGAAAACATTCTTCATCCTGTTTGCTTCTCAAAAACCCTTGGCTTGAGTCCCTTGGGATCTTTATATAATAGGGAACTCCCTAGCTTAGGGGCAGTCTACCATGGAGTACTTGCAGCTAAAGAATAGCCCAACCTAATACATGAGGTGATCTGTGAATTTCTGAAGATTAATAACAGATCTCTCTGAACTCTTTTGCTGCCATAACTTCCTGGGTTTATGTTTAAAAAAAAACAAACAAAAAAAGAGGATCATATTATGGCAGGGACAATTGTGTGGTTTTTTCCCAAGCCTGGTCTCTGTTAGTTGGGCATATGAAGAATGGTTGCAGGATTTAGGTATGGCTAGTCTAGGGTTGACACAATAGCAGTATTCCAGCACTTGAGGGGCTGCCACAGAGAAGAGGGGGTCGACCTATTTTCCAAAGCACCAGAAGGCAAGACAAGAAACTATAGATGGAAACTAACCAAGGAGAGAAGCAACCTAGAACTAAGGAGAAACTTCCTGAGAGTTAGAACAATTAACCAGTGGAACAACCTGCCTCCAGAAGCGGTGAATGCTCCAACAACTGCAAGTTTTTAAGAAGAGACTGGATAGCCATTTCTCTGAAATAATAATAATAATAATAATAATAATAATAATAATAATAATAATAATGATGATGATGATGATGATGATGATGATGATGATGATGATGATGATGATGATGATAAAGTTGGAAGGGATCTTGGAGGTCATCTAGTCCAACCCCCTGCTCAGGCAGGAAACCCTATACCATTTCAGACAAATGGCTGTCCAGTTTCTTCTTAAAAACTTCCAGTGTTGGAGCATTCACAGCTTCTGGAGGCAGGTTGTTCCACTGGCTAATTGTTCTAACTGTCAGGAAGTTTCTCCTTAGTTCTAAGTTGCTTCTCTCTTTGGTTAGTTTCCATCCGTTGCTTCTTGTCCTGCCTTCAGGTGCTTTGGAAAATAGCTTTACTCCCTCTTCTTTGTGGCAGGTATAGGGTTTTCTGCCTGAGCAGGGGGTTGGACTAGATGAGCTCCAAGGTCCCTTCCAACTTTATTATTAATTATTATTAATTATTAATTATTAATTATTATTATATTATATTATATTATATTATATTATATTATATTATATTATATTATATTATATTATATTATATTATTATTATATTATTATATTATGTTGTTGTTGTTGTTGTTGTTGGTGGTGGTGGTGGTGATTCATCACTGGAGGCTTTCAAGAGGAGACTGGATAGCCACTTGTCTGAAATGATATAGGGTCTCCGGCTTGAGCAAGGGGCTGGACAGGAAGACCTCCAAGGTCCCTTCCAGCTGTAGTCTGAATTGAATTGAATTAGGCTGTAAGAAGGAGCCCTTTTTAGTCTCTCTCTCTCTTCCCTAGTTGGTTTGACTTTTTTTTTTAAGGTTTTCGTAGACCAACCAGAGGTTTCTGAAAAAAGACATGCCGGCGTTTGACTTTTCAAGAACTCTCCATCAAGCAAGAAAGCAGAAAATCCCCTCGGCTGACAGACCCGGTTTGAGAAACTCAGAAACCTCGAAGCGCTATCCAATAAGCTTTCCGGTGGCCTCATCAAGGCATCGCCAGCTTTAATAGGGATTTTGGAAATTAAATCTTGCCAACCTGTTTCCATGGAGGAATGGGGTCAGAGGGGGGAGGGGGGGGGAAAGAAAGACGGACTGGCACTGCCCAACCCTTCGCTTTCTTTCTGCGCACAACCCGGCTTGGCAGCCCGGCAGCGCACGGCTAGAGATCAGCCGAAGCATCCAGGTCACGATGAAGTGGGGTGTGTGTGAAATGGAATATATATATATACACACAAACCACACACACAAACCACACACACACACACACATACAAGAGCGGTTACACACGTTTGTGTGTGTGCATGTATGTGTGGGTACGCGCGCCCGCGGGAGCGCGCGCGCACGTGTCTTCCGCGCGCAAAGAAAGGCGAGGAGGTGGAGAATTTTCTCTCTCTCTCTCTCTTTCAATCTCTTCGCCCGTCTCTCCCCTCCCGCGTGGGGGGGGGGGGCGGGGCGGAGGCAATCGGGAGTAAAGGAGGCGAAGGGGGCGGGGCCTCGGCGGCTTGTGACGTCCCCCGAATGGGTTACTCTACGTTCTAGAACTCCGCCCCACGTGCGTTCTGGCGGCGGGGGGGGAGGGAGGAGGAGGAGGAGGAGGAAGGGAGGGCGGAGGGAGGGAGGGAGCGAGGCTGGCTGCGCGGAGCGACGATGGCTGGGAGCGAAAGGGAGCGAGGGGGGAGGGAGAGAAGGAAGGCGCTTGAGCTGAGCTAAGCTAAGCTGATCCCACGTGTGAAAGGATCTGGCTGGTTCGCCGGCTTCTCTCTCTCTCTCCCTCTCTCTCCCCCCCACCAGCCAGTAATATTCACCGGTAGCAGACAAAAAAAAAAGAGAGAGAGAGAGGGAGGGAGAGAGAGAGAGAGAAAGAAAGAAAGAAGGAAAGAGAAGAAAGCGGAGCGATCGGAGGGAAGGGGGCCAAAAGAAGGGGAGAAACGAACCCGGGGGGAGGGTGGGGGGGTCCTACCAAGGGGGGGGTCTCTCTTGTTTCTCTTTCTCCTTCCCTCCCTCTCTCTCTCTCTCTCTCCCCCTCTCTCTCCGCGGGCTCGAGTCGTCCTTCGTGGCCGCAGTCATGGAGGCAGATGGGAGTCAAGCCATCTCGGGCAGCCCCAGCGACTCGCAGCACGACCCCGGGTAAGTTGGCTCCTCCGGCCTTGCCACTTTGGCGGGCGCGCGGGGGACCCCTGCTCGCTTGGGCAAAACTGGTGGGAGAAGCGCGGAGGGGAGGGAGGGGAGGGAGGGAACAGGCGGCGCGGCGCCGGCGAAAGGGAGAACCGAGCAGCGGCTCTTCTTCTTTCTTTCTTTCTTCTTTTTCTTTTCTTTCTTTCTTTCTTTCTTTTTTTGCCGGCTCTTTTTCTTCTTCTCTTCTCTCCGTCGCTCGTTCGCTCTCTCGGAGTTAACTCACCTTGGGTCCGTTTGCCTGGGTCTGCCCCCCCCCCCTCTCTCCCGACCTCTCTCCATCTCCCCCTTCTCCCCCTCCTCCTCCTCCTCCTCTTCTTCTTCTCCCCCCCCTCCCAAGCCAGGCTTAGCTTCCCTCGCCCCCCCCCAAGCCGCCCCCCCTTCCACCTCTCCCTTCCTTTTAGCTTTTGTAAGTTACACGTCAAAATGGCCGATCTGACATCTCTGCTTAACTCTGTTCTGTTTTCTTCTTCCAGTAAAATGTTTATTGGCGGCCTGAGTTGGCAGACCTCCCCAGGTAAGCGGGGGGACCCGGTGGGTGGGTGGGTGGGTGTGTGCGCTGGGTGGGGGGCAGCCCCATCTCCCACTCCCTCTGGATCCTGTCTAGCCCAGCCTCCTTTGATAGAGCCTTTGTTGTTATCCCAGGTCAGTTTCATTGGGTGTCTTCCTCCCCCCCCCTCCTTACGTCCCCCCCCCAGCACTCTTTCCCACAAGTAAAGAAACCATATTTCATCCTGCACCAGAGTAAGCTGGTGAGATCCTTTATGTGCTCCAAATAACACTTCTCTTTCCAAGTCCTCTATTCGACCTTAAATTTGTGTGTGCGCACTTTTGAGGGGTGGTAGGCTCAAGAGAGGGGGGGAGGAAAAAAAGTTGCTTTTAAAAAAAAAAAAAATCAGGTCATCCATTTGTCCCCCTTTCTATACTCTGAAAATGTAGCTCCCTTTCTTAGTGGCTGATTTTTAATGCAGATACGTTTTTTAAACACTTGCTTCTGTTTTCTTCTCTTTCTCTTTCCCATCCTCATTTTTTTTTCTCTGCGCTCTCTTTTTCTGCTCCGCAGATAATCTTAGAGATTATTTTAGCAAATTTGGAGACATTAGAGAATGTATGGTCATGCGGGACCCAACTACAAAACGCTCCAGGTAAACCGTTTGTCCTCTTTTTTTTTAAATCAAAGTTTTCTCCCTTTCCTGTGATTTTTATGGAAGGCTGCACGGTCTGTGTGCTTAGAATAAGTGTTAGCAGTTCTTTAAGGCACATTAGGCAGTTAAAAACCTTTGGCTTTTCTTCACAAAAAACTTTGAAACCAGGAGTTTCAAAGACAGAGTTTCTGTCTTTGAAACTCTTGTGTCTTAAATATAGATGTTGAAATGAGAAGGGAAATTTATGTTTTCTGCTAGTGGAAACCTGTTAAATTAAATAAGGGTTCTGGAGAGTCTCATTTTGAGAAACTTGCTTCTAACTGTTTGTTCGGCTAACCAAAGTATATAATTTTTTTTTAGTAAAAAGAGCCAATCCTACAGCTTTCTACTTTTGGGTTAAACAAAGCATGAACTGAAGATGGCAAGATTTTGTATGCGTGCACTGAGAGGTGGAAAAGGAGTTAGATTTTGAAGCACGCATAAGTTTTTTTTATACTCCACCTTAACCCTAATCTATTTTCTGAAAAGGACTGATGGTTTGATTCAGAGCAATATGAGAATCTAGGTTGTGTCTTATTGGGCATCTTAAATGTATTTATTGTCTTTTCTTAGTATTTCCTGTACCTTTTCCCCATCAGCTCTTCTTTGTCTTATTTCAGGGGGTTTGGTTTCGTTACATTTGCTGATCCGGCAAGTGTTGATAAAGTATTAGCTCAAGCTCATCATGAATTAGATTCCAAGACGGTACGTTACACAATGTGATATTGGTGTGTGTGTGTGTTTAATGTCTCCATTATTTCCTGCAATATTATGACTGTGACAGGCTCATTTAAAGAGACAGTGTCCTTTTGGCTGGGTCTGTTCGAAGGGGTATTGTGGTAGGTTATTAATACTGCAATAATTGTGCAAAGAAATGCTACACTACCTTGCAGGATATGGAAGCTCATGTTTCCATTATATATTGTAAAGAAAAGAAATCATCCTTGCTCAAATATTAACTAGTTGGCCAAGACAGTTCAGTTTGATTGTATTTATTTATTTTTCCTTCTGCTAACTGATGCTTAAACTATTTAGTTTGCAAAAAAACATACACTCTATCCAAGTTGTGTAGTGGAAGAGAATAACTAGAGAAGCTTCTTGAGAGATTAGAAAGATGCTACTTTATTTTTTTGAAAGAGGGGGACTTCAGGGCAATTTTAGATTGTCAGAGTATTATTTTCCTTAGCCTTCCTTTCTAGAATACTGAGGAAGTTATTATTTTTTTCCTTGCCTAACAGAAAAGGGCATTTTGAGACATTGCAACAAGTGAAAAGAGCTCCCTTTCAAAGGAAAATTGCAACACGTTTCTGTTCCTTTTGAATCATATCCCAAGTTTTTCTATTGCAAAAAATACTTTTTGGGTTTAAGAGGGGATTAATCGTCTGATACTCCCATCTTCCTGCCACTATATTTCCATTTCTGCATGATATCCTAACTCTTCTGTAGCATCAGAAAGGAAGTTTGTATTTGGCCAATTTTAATTAGTTGCAACTTTAATTCCGTAGCTTAAAGAGACACCAATAAAAAGTAATTTGTCTCTTAAACTGTGAGCAGAAGCTTGTTTTTTATTTAGTTTCAAGATGGTTATTGTTTCATCATTACAACACTTTGACTTGCAGGGAAGTGTGTAAAATTATCCTTTAAACCAAGAAATTATGGAGAAATTATGGTCTTAAGGTTACCGAGCCTTGCTTTATATGAATCTCTTTTAAAATAAATGAGATTATTATGTCTAAAAGTGTCCTTAAGTGAAGCTTAGCTTTATTGCCCTCCCTCCAAATTCTAATAACTTTGGGTATGTGTCCTGTTGGGCTTGTCTGAACATGCGACTCATGTTTAAACATTCCCCAATTATTTCAGGGTGGGGGGAGAGAAAGCTTCCAAAGCCTCAGGAGCGATCCTGAGAAATCAATTCTAAAATAGTTTTAGTAAAAATCCAGGCAGGTAACTTATTAAATGTATTGTTCCAAGAAGATATAATTGTTGGAAGATAATTTATGGCTGTTTGTTTTTGTGCACTGGGGGGGGGAGGGCGGACTTAGAGATCAAACTAAAGGATGGAACTTCTTTATACTGTCCTATAAAATGGACAACAGAGAAGAAGGGGGCCCAGGAGAGGTTAGCAAACTATGTGAACAAACCCTGGTTTTTGCATCTGAAGTTAGTTACCCTGGTCACTTTTGTGAGTCGAAAGTGGAAAGCTTGGAAATACTTATAGGAAACTTCCTATCATACTGTGATGCCAGCCAGATGAAATGGCATTGCTTTGATTTTGGATGTGGGAGCGAACGCTTCTGAGTGGTTTGTTCAGAAATGGATTTCTCATCACTGTTTAAAAACAACAGCCAAAACATAAAATATACTTTTTTTTGCCTTGTTAGACCTCTGATAGTTTCTTGTCCTTTAGTATTGCTAGCATTTGACCCTGTTTCAACGCTGAGCACAGGAAACGGCTCGGTTTGCTATTGACACGGAAGTTGCCTGCTCTTGTTTACGGTTACATTAGAGGCTTGGTTTAGGTAATGGCCATTTGGTATCAGAAATAGTGTTATTATTAGTCATTTCCTAGAGGACTTGTAGATACAGTAAGTAGCATTGTACCTAACTAAGTTTATTTTTAGTAGCCTCTTTTTTTCTGTTGTCTCTTGTTTAAATAGTTCATAGGGATGCACAACAGGCATAGAGCTGCTGAATGGGGTCGCATCAGGCTGGCAAGGTGGGGAGTGCCTTCCAATTTTGAAAAGGTGCCCATCTGTTAGATAATATCCATTCTTCCTTGGGTAAATTTCTGGAAAATGGCTGCGTTCATCTTGCACCTCTTTTCTTTTTAAAGTAACAGCTAAAACTTTAAGGGGAGTTAATATGACAGCTGTATGATGTTTATTTGCCACCCCTCGGGCACATTTAATGTTTTGGACAGTGGGAAATCTACACCTGTTGTGTTTCTCTGGTAGCCAAATATTCTAGCTGGTGATGAGTATATATGTAGATGGATATTACCAGTGGTAGGATTCAAATATGTGAACAACCGGTTCTCTGTGTGGATGCCGCTTCCGGAAGTCCATTCTGGGCCTGGGCAACAAAAAATTAGCTACTGCCGAAGTGGTACGAGCTGGCTGAATCCCACCACTGGATGTTACTCTCTAGGAAAAGAAGAGCTTTCTAGATGAAAGTTTTGTGAGTTTTCTGTGTATGCTTGATGAACTGTTACGATGATATAATCAATCACTTCTCAGGTACGTAGTTTTTCTTTCTAAAACTTTTATTACAAGCAAAATTGCCTTCCTAATGGGCAGGCTAAGATTTCTGAGTGAAATGATAGCTCTTTGAATATATCATCTCCTATGCAAGTAGCAAAGGTTTTCTTCTACCTGCCAGAGACACTTTGAAAAAAACACAAAACCCTCTTTATAGCAAAAGTTTGGTTAAGACTCTTTTCCAGATGAAAACAAAAGTTTAGAAGTTGGCAGTTAACAGTTGGCAGAAGGGTTAAGTTTATTTTTTTAGTTTTTTTGAAACTACAAAATTATTATGGACTTGCTCAATTACTAGGGATACATATATAGGATTGTGCTCGGAAAGAACTTTTAACATTCCCCTTTATTTCAGTTAGAACAGCACTACCTTTTTCATTGGTGAAGAGGCTGAAACCATTAAAAATAAAATTCAGTTCTAAAATATTAACATGCTTATAGGGTGTAAAGTTAGTTCTAAAAATTTATGAAGGGCTGAGAGAATTTCTACTTCTGTTCAATCTAAATTTTACTCCCTTTCTCCAAATTGCTACTCAAGAGTGTCTAATAAAATTATTTGTACTTTTCATTTCAAAATACTTTAGCCAGCATTTGGAGCCAAATAGCATTAAGATTGAGAACTTGAGGTGAAACAAATGTATAATTCACTGTAGAGCTTACGCTTTGATAAGGAGTATTTTGATTGTAGCTTTGAAATTTTATTAACTTTTTTCAACATATTGTTGGCAAGTCATTTTTTTTGTAATGTGGCAGCTATAAATTTGTGGCTTTAGAATGCCGAAAGACGGGACTCTATGGTTAAGTTTCTTTGAATTGGACTTTAGAAAAATTTCTCTCTTGTTAAGTTCCTTCAGTCTATTATTTAAAAAAAAATAACAAAAAAATCAATATGCCTTCAGGTGATTATTTTTAAAAAGGAAATCTACATCTGGTAAAAATCTAAACATGCAAACTTTGTATTAGGTTCTTGAAATCATGTATCCATTGTATCTTAATTATGAAATACAAAATCAGATCCAATCATTCAACTTTTTTTTTTTTGCAGCCATAAAAAACTTCCCTAAAAGAGGCAGTTGCTATTTAAATGTCTCTTAAACTGTGGAGGCCTTAACAGCAGAAAAGAAAATAAACACAAATGGACTGAATAATCCTCTCCCCAAAATGTCATTCATATTCATATTCATATTTTTAAATACATATAATGTATTTAATAATAAGGCAGATTGTGTCTGACATTCAGGATTGGACGATCGAATTAGTACTTGTTTGAAGAAGGAAAGAGGAAGGAGACTTTTTAAAAGTTCCCAACAGTTAAGTCACTGAACATGCTGTTTTCCTTTCTGTTCTGCGTGTTACGACTTTTCCCGCTAGCTCCTCTGCAAGAAATCTTATACCTGAGAAATGAAGGATTAATGATTCAGCGCAGTCTTTCAGTTGTACGGGTTTTTTTTGCCTTTCTACAGAAAATATGCAAATGATCTTGCTTTCCATTTCTCCCCCCTCCACCACCCCCCATCCCGCAGATTGACCCCAAAGTTGCATTTCCCCGAAGAGCTCAACCTAAGGTAAGAAAGAATAATCAATAATGAATTTTAAGGCATGCTGTGAGTTGCATTAGTTGCTGGTTAGAGCAGATTGGGGGAAGCAAGATGGAAGTGGGGTGGGGGGGAATGGAACAGAAGAGATATTTTTTTTTCTTCCTTAAAGGTTGACATGCCATGCCTTGTGTATCTTAAGACTGGTGAGAAACGCCAGAGAGTTGTGAGCAAAGTATTACTCCAGGGGTAATCAACTCCTTATGGGTCCTGTGTCATTTGGCATTGCCTGGTTAAAAAACAACAAGTCTTTCGGAGTGGTGGGTGTTTTCTATATTGCTACGCTGAGCAGCTGCGGTGTATTGACAAAGCTAGAAGGGTTTGAAGTTGAGCGTGTGCTTTTCTTTCTGTCTTTTTTTGGGGGGGGGGAGTGATGAATGTAGAACCGTGTTTGTTTTTCTTGGTGCAAAAGAGAAATGGCTGCTCATCCCTTCTCCTGTTTTTTTTCCTCCCCCCTTGGGCATAACTTGTGAATAGGGCTAGTTCATTAATTCACTAGCTTTTTTTTGGGTTGGGGTGAGGAGGGTCCGAAGCTTTTGAGAAAGAAAAAAAAAAAGACGGGAAAGAAAGAGGCTTTGAAAACAAAAGGTCTTAAATTTGATTGGATGAGTGACCTATTTTCTCCTCCCCACCCACCCCCAACTCTTAGAGCTGCCTTGTATTATGCTGTGGGTTGCTTGCAAGGACATCTCGGTCATATTCAAAACAGCTTTTGTCCAACGGCTACCTCCGGTTGGGGAGGTGGCTGCAAAGCCAACTTTCAGAGTTGGCTATCTGTCTGGGTTAGGTAGTTGCTAGGTTCCTCTCCCCCCCCCCTTAAATCACAATGTTGTTTTAACACGGAGCAACTGTTTTCGGTCCGTGGGATGAGTTTCTTTTTAAAATACAAACTGACATTGTCCTTCTGGAGCCACGAGTGTTAACCATGCATCTCCCCCAAGTTTGGAGACTCCTTGCAGTTGGGACTGATTTAGCTGTGGTCACTTGGGCCAAAACTCCCATTTAGTTGATCTCTCTCGTCTGTTTTCCTGGAGGGAAGTAATCATCAAAGACTAATTGATCTGTAGTAGTGGGCATGGGGTAGTTTTTCAGTGTCCTGTTGGGTTAGGAAGAAGAGCAGAAGAAAAGTGGGAATAATGAAACGGAGGGAGGGAGGGAGGGAATGTAACTAGCAGATATTTGGACTGTCCCTTTTCAAGGACATCTGCAAGCACCTAATGTTCCTTTCTTAGAATTTCTGTCTGCAACCATGAATGAATTTGGAGCGTTTATCAGAGTAAAGCATTTGCAGGACTGCTGAAGTTCTCTTTGACTTTGTTTTCCTCTTCTTCCCAGCTTTCCACGCAAACGTTGCCCGACCTTTTGAATCTGCAGGGTTCCCATGCTAATTTATACTGACTTTTTTTTTTTCCATGGAGTTATTTATGGTTGCTTTCTGCCTGGGTAAGAGGAAGGAGTATAATAGTACAAGCACAAATTGCCCAAGTGTCAAAATGGGATAGAAAGGGACCGCTCCCCCCCACTCCCCCAGAATGTTTCTCAAAAACTGGAACCGGTATAAAAGTTTGATCTGGAAAGGAATAAGGTAGAGATTTTTGAACTCATTAGCTGCCTTACGTCCACCTCCGAATGTGGGATTTTAAAGGGAAAAAAATGACTGCCATTTCCTCTACTTTTTATTGAGGGGGGGGGAGAGTTTGTATGATTTATGTATTCAAAGTGTTTTCTAAGAAAATCTGCTTATCATCTTAGACAGAGTTACAATACAATAAACCCCAAGGTAACACCACATTAAAACAATTTAAGTATTAAAACAGTATACAAACACGCTACACAACCCTCTGAAATGCCAGGGCAGAGAATGACATCTTAAAGTGGTGCCATGTAGATAACAGCAGTGGATCCAACTGATCTCCAGCAGAGAAAGCATTAGTAATAAGACTGCAGAGAATTCCAAATATTGAAATCCAGTTCCTAACCTTTGTTATATTCCTGTAGGAGATTATAGTTAATGTGCACATTTTAAAGTACACAGCTACTAGAGAAAATAGTGACTAAGAAGAGTTGTTGTACTCATGTCGATGCATATTTTCGAATTAAAAAAATATTCTGGGTTTCTTTTTCAAGTACATCCTTTGCGGTAAATGCTGTCACCCTCACTAAAATGGGTAAAACATCTGTTAAAATGGCAAATTTACGTCCCTAAACTATAGTAATGTCAGCCATAGAAGTGCAACGGAATAATTCTACTTTCTTTAGAATTAATAATAATGAAGCTGCAATAACAGTGTTTTAGATAAAGAGCCTTCTCCCTCAGCCATTCTGCAAAATAAACTAGTTAGGGGAATATAGACGTAGGCTAATAAACAGAGTGAAATTTATTTCAGTGAAAGCAAAATAATTCAGTATGTATCCCTACCTTGAAAATTTGATGATGTAATTAATCCATCAAACCAAACCATTTTTGAAATATGTACTGGAAAGAGACAACAAAAAGTGAAGACATCACACTAAATCATTATGTGGTTTCTTAGATTTTGGCTTAGTATGTAAGAACGCAGCTTTTGGCTAACCAACATTTAAATCCCAAATTTTGGTTAATGCTTCCAGAAGAATAAAGTTTGGAATCCATATGTACCATAAGGTTCAACTCCCTAAGTGATGGAATAACCCAACCCAGATAAATGGTGGTCTGATCTTTGTTAGAAACATCCAGCACAATGGAATCCATTTCTCAAGACCTGCTTTTGTATTGAACTTTCATAATAATTTAGTCTTCTTTCTGTGGTGTCAGGAATCTTTACAGCAGTGTTTTTCAATCTTTACAACTTTAAGATGTGTGGACTTCAACTCCCAGAATTCCCCAGCCAGCCATTACTGGCTAGGGAATTCTGGGAGTTGAAGTTCATATATTTTAAAGTTGCCAAGTTTGAAAAATCACTGCTTTAGAATAAAGCTATGTGTGTGGCTTGTTAATTTTGAAAAGGTGTCAATCCAAAGTGGATGGAAGTCTTACTCCCTTTTTTCTGTTTATGGGAGAAGGGATTATATCATTCTATTAAGTCCATAATTGTGGTTTGGCATAAATTGAATTAATGTGTTTGAAAAGCTTTAAGGTATGTCAGTGCTTCAGGGTGGTGCTGATTCATTCCAAGTGACATTGGTTTTTACAGGTTTTGTGAAGTTAGACAAAAGGTACAAGCAGGACAAAATGAAATGAAAATGGCAAAAAGTTGTAAGGATCCTCCTGATTGGACAGGAAAAGATGCTTGAAAGCTGCAAGCATGGAAAAGATTAGGCATTTCTGCATTACGCCCATTGATTAAGTGTGTAAACTAGATTGAAACATTTTATTCCTTAATGGAAGTTCAAGAAAATATATGCTTGATGACTGAATAGTTGTTTTTTTCCAGATTATCTTCTGGGCTTGTCAGAGCAGTCATATCTAATCCAACTCTTCCAATTTTAGAGACTATTTTAAGAAAAATACCATTTACTGAATTTCCCCCTCTCTCCAGTGATAAAGTAGGTAGCACAGAGATACAATACATTGAACGTAATGGGAGAGAAAAGTGTGCAGCTTTCGGACGTTACGAAAATTCTAACAAACTGAAAAGTTTGATTCAAATATAAAACTCGGCGCTGCCAAAATATATCTTTTATGAAAGCATCTTACTTTGGTGGTTTTATCCCTTCCTTGTCTTTGTTGGAAAGATGTCAGTGCTAATCTCATTTTGAAAAGCACTTGCAGTGTTCCTAATGTAACTACTTCAATTTTTTGCTCGATGATTTCTGTCTACTTAGTACAAACTATCATTTTAGAGTTTGATCCCAAGGTCTGGAGTTTTGGTAACGTGCGATCTAAATCCTCCTTGTATAGTTTCACCCCCCCCTTTTGTGCTTACCTCCCAACTTGCATTAATATCTCAAAGCCGCAGTGAAAATATTAAAATATACGTCAGGTTTTGTGTATTCAGCCTTGCATTTCTTACATAGAAAAGCCATATTTTTATCCTGCACTTACGTTTTGAAAGTTTCTCTGTCTGGTCTGTTCTGCTTTAGCAAAGTTTGTGTTTTAATAAGCACTTGTTATGAAAATGATATGTAAAAAGATTCTGAAGGCAAATGAATTGCCCTTAACAAGGGCAGAATGGACTTGAGATTTATTGCCGCAATTTTTCCTAACTATGAACAAATGCACAGGCTTTTAAGATCACTCACCTAAAGAAAGCTTTGGCTCTGAAAAGTTAATTTATCCTAGTTTAAATAGTCCGTGTTTGCTTTTAGAATGCAAAAGTTCAGCTGAATCGGTTGATGATTGGATTTACGGAAATGTTATCATTGGTGAAATAGGGCTGCAGGTGTGAGCAAACTCTGTAGGCCTTGACCCCCAAAGATTTGCAACCTTAGCTGTCCTCTTTTGGGATGATAATGATCTTTAACGCAAGGTTGTGCATATTTGCAGTATAACTGTTGGTGATACAAAATGAGCAGTGGAGATATTTACTGGTTTGAGGGTTATTACCTCCCTATCTTTGCCTAAGCATTTTTAAATGACCAAAGCTCGGTGTGGTAAATTTTCTCTGCAGTTTATCATTTATCAACAGGATAAGGATGCCATGAAAAACTGCTTTCTTTAGATCAGTCCCCCCCCCCCAATATTTTGGGCGCCAGGGACCGGTTCCCTGGAGAGAGGTTTTTCCGTGGACCGGAGGGGGCGTGGTTTCATGTACCCTCTGCATCCTGCGGATGGGGCTTTGTTTGTTTGCCGTGAACTGGTGCCGGTCCATAGACCGGGGTTTGAGGACGGGGTTGGGGACCCCTGCCTTAGATGCTATGACTATAACTTACAGAGCAGTGGGGAGCAGTTCAGGGGTTAGTATAGCCTTGCAAATTATTTCATAAAAATAATTTGCTTGCCCATGTATACAATTCAGGTGTTTTAATTGGGGCTCAGATCTGATCTCATAAAGTGCATTTTGGACTGTCTTTGGTGGTTTTCTGGGTTTAATCTTTAAAGCATTTTAAAAACCAAGCACCAGGATACTTTTTGCCTTCCTCCGTATGGATTTGTTCAAGATTTAAGTTTTTTGCCTGCCTTTGTAGTGTGATTTATAATGACCTGAACATGTGGGTAGGTACATGTGACCTTTTGAATTTCGAGGCAAAAAGCAGCAAAGTCCTTCTCTAAAAGAACGTAGCTAATTCAACCATGGTGCCCTCAAGCCTAGAGGTCTAATTTAGTACAAGGCAGTTCAAACTAAGATCTGATTTAATTGTGGCTGAGGATGGTGATCTGGTGGTTGATCTCATAGTTGATTTTATCTACCGTATGTATCTATGTTTAGGGTGGGGAACCTATCATATTTCCCAAGGAATTTCATGATCTGCAGCCAGATTTGTGGGTCTACATCTTGTGTTAGGTGATAAGTAACTATGCACCATTTTTGCCTTTTCCTGGACCAACAATCCTTTCTCACAGTCACTCATGCCCTAGCTACCTCCCATTTTGACTATTGCAACATGCTCTACATGGGGCTGCCCTTGAAAAATATCTGGAAGCTCCAATTGGTTCAAAATGCAGCAGCCCACATGGTTTTGTGCAGGCTCAGGTGTGCACGTGTGTTACCTCTCATGCAGGAGCTGCATTGGCTGTGAATTTACTTCTAGGTAGAATTCAAGGTGTTTGTCATCACCGATAAAACCCTATATGGCTTGGGACCTGGTTATCTGAACGACTGTCTCTGCCTGGTTACATCCATCTGACCCATCAGAGTGGGAAGGCAGGGAACATTGAGGGTCCCCTCTCTTAAGGAGGTATATCTGGTGGGACCCCAAAAGCAGGGCCTTCTCGGTGGTGGCTCTCTCCCTTTGGAACATCATCTCCATAGAGATTATACTGGACCCCACTTTGATACTTGTTCACAAGGCCCTGTAGACCTGGTTTTGTCAAATGGCCTGGGCAGCCCAGAGTGGGATGGAGCCCATCAAGTGACTTATTTAACCGATTGCTGTTGCCAGGGTGATGGGGGGGGTTGTATATTGTATATGGTTGTATATTGGATTTCTATTTTTTGCAAGCCATCCAGAGTCGCTGAGAGTGAGTGGGCAGCCATATGAATTTTCTAAATAAATAAATAAGGATAAGGCTGGGCATGTTACCACCTTGATATACCGCTGACTAGATAGATGCCTTGGGGAGCAGCAATGAATTATGGGGGCTTCAATTACCTCCTCCCTGGCGGCTGTTGTCTTGGGATTTCACAGTCTTGATATGATAACCATGAGGATGTTCCATTTATCAGACCACACATTGTCCTTTCCTTCTGGGCAGGAGAACAATGATCTGAAGATAGGAAGAACACTACTAATCCCTTTGTCATGCTCAAGGATTAAACAATTCAGCACTAAACGTTCTCCCATCCCTCTGGGTTGAGGTTGATTTATCCCTGAAAATGTATGGAATCCAATAGATTCCTGAATGCTCTGGGGGAAAGAATGAGCTGGTTATTCTGTTGGAAAACTTGTCGCCCACTGGCAAGATGAGACTGGCAACCAGTATTTTGTTTGTTTGTTGTCTTATAATTATATCTATCATTTCTCTTAGAGTTCAAACAAAATTGAAGGACTTGGCCAGTAACTCTGTGAACTAGATAGGGGCGAGGTGTTAACTGGCCTGATGTTACTCAATGAGTTGATTTTATTTCTGACTCTCTGATACATGGGAATTGTACTGAGTGAAACAACTCAGATAATATGAAAATTTCACCGAGGAAACTCTTTTGTGTACCACAGATTTAAAAGATAGGTCCTGTGGTTAGTTTACCTGTCATGGATAAGTCAGGGTTCCTATGAAGGAATGTAGCGGTCCAAGTGGTTTCAGTCACTAGGAACTGTGACTGAAGAAGGAAGAAGAAGGAACATATTTTCCTATCTTTACTTATTTATTGCATTCTATAGGTGCATAAGCTACATTTGTGTATAGTTGCTTGGGCATACAGGTAGTCCTCGATTTATGACCATAATCGGGACCAGAATTTCCTTGTCTAAGCAAGGCA